TCTTATAGAATTAGAGTTCTGTAACAATTTAAGTGCTGTGTCTTTCAGTTTGATTTACTTCAAATAATAAAGAATGCAATGGCAAAATGTTCATTGCTTTTTAAGATGATGTGTATTACATACATGTACCACTGGGAAAGTTTTGGATAGTTTTCATATATACTACTGCTGTGGGTAAGAACAAAGACTCCAAACAGTTGGAGAGGAAAGAATATACCATATGCTATCTTCAACCATATCAATCAAATAGCTGCCACCTTATCTTTCAAATGTTCTTTTAGTCTGATTCTCTTGGAAATACTTAGATGAAAAGAATGAAAACAATGTAACATAATATAGCTTAGAGAGAGTAACACTATAGGGAAATCTAGCCACTCAGTTCTTTAAATTTTTCATTTGGAGTTCCCAAAATTTGGCTATGAATCCCCAAGAAAGAGATCATGTATTTTAAATATTGTCTGCTGTGTGTGTGCTAACATAAAAGTAGATGCAGTTTGGACTTCAGATGAAGTTTAATTGGGTAGATGCTATAGTTCTTAAAGGAGCACAGTGTAGTTTCAGAGCAGTAGGCTTTATGAACGTCTGTTTCAATGCTTCTATACAAGATAAGTCCCTACCATATACAGCCATTTCTCCTGGATACACAAAAGCTTTCATATTCAATAGTCACCTTGCTTAAGAACATAAAAAATGTGTGAATCCCTTTTCTTTTTGCTTAAACAATAATATAGAGCTGAATAAAAAGTTGGACTATTTTCTCTAATATTACCCCTTATGAATAAGGACATTTTATTCTCAAGTTCTTAGGAATGTCTCATAACATGAAGTAGGTACTCTTTATTTTAAACAAAGTATCATTTGGATGTTTTTGACATTCCTTCACTTGATGGTACAAGTGAAAAATGGAACATAGGAATTAAATACTGAGATAGTAATTAATTTTGGAGGCATGAACTAACAATTCTGAGTGTTGAGTGCTTTTGAGAGCACATAAAGACCACTAAAAAAAGCAGAGTAAGTGGTTACTAGAGATCATGAATAGTAAGCAGGTTATCATAGATGGGGAAGAGATTCCTAATGATGTCATTGGGCAGTTTCACAGGCTTGCTCTGCAGACCTCTTAGACTGAATGCAAGGTGACAGGTGGTAGAAGCAGGCCTGTTCTTTTGATAGGGCGCCATTCTGCTGTCAAGAGGGCAAGAGGGGGGAGCTGGAGCGAAACTGCCCAAGAAGCAAACAGCAATAATCCCCAGACTATTCTTTATCATATGTGCTTTCAAGTACTTTATGTCCATATTAGTAATTACATACCATAACTACACTTTCAATTAGTGAGTCTGTGTTGCTCAAAGCTTATAATACAATCAGTTTAGCTGAAAATTTTTCTGACATTTTGTTTTAGTGAGGTGGGAAATTACCTAACATTCAATCTTTATGTTTTCCCAAATATTAACCACATAAGAAGGCATGGACGATGACTGAATGGCAGAGCTGAATACTGTGTTAAGCAAGGAGTGTGCTCTGGATAGCCAGTGAACCATATATCCATCTTACTCCACACCCATGATATTAATGAACCCATTTGGCAGAATGTTAATCTGTTTTAAATTCCTTTCTAGAAAATTTAAATGTAAAACTCTCCTACATATGATTATAGCACAAAGCATTAAATATACAACAAAGGATCTAAAAGAGTATCCTGAGTGCTGCTTTCTGTTATCAAGATGAAGCACTTTTAGCAATAAACCCAAGTCTCTAGACCTACATTTCTGTTCTAATCCATTACTTGTGGGAACATAGTTGAAACTGTTTTAGAGGGCAATTTGGTAATAGATACTGTAAGCCTTAATGTGTGTATCACTTTTACCCCAACAATTCCAATTTATAAAAGTTAGCCTATAAAGATGGACACAGAGATTCTGCTGGAGTATATTTATAACAATGCTGCTTATAATGGCAACTCTGGGAAATCTACAGGGATAATAATTAAATATATTTTGACACATATAAAACAATTCTTAGCAACTATTAAAACAATGTTGCAAAAGTGTGCTTGCAGACATTGAAAAGTATTCAATACTCAGTGCTTAAGATCCAATATTTGAGTAAAAAGGAGAGGAATGGTATGAGTTAACCATGTGCCTGTGCAAGACAGACATGTGTGCCTCAAAGTGTTAAGTGTGTGTTTCTAGAGGCTGCTATAAATGTTTGCTTTCTTTTCTTTAATAAACACTGTTTGTGTAAATCACTTTTTTAATGTTTTTAAGAATCCACTCCTCTAATATTCAACCATAAAACTGTGTTCATAGGATTTCTGCTTAACTCTAACATTTTCAATATTTGCAGCAGGGTCATATTTCACCTTTCTTGTGACCTGTATGTTTGACAATTGTCAATCAAGCAAACTTACTTTAATAAACAAGACATTTCAGTAGCTGGGTCAGGGCCCAGGCTTCTCAGTCATATCCATTCTACTGACTAGGTAAGGACAAAACAGTCTGTCTGAGAATCGTTCCTCCCCACCCCCACGATGGCAGAAGAGACCAGCACAGAAATATTTCAGGCTTACTGGAAGCAGAAGATACAGCAAGAACAGCTTTTATTCCCAAATATTATTCAGAACATTTGAAAAGCATAAACTGTTTCCATGTGTTTTTTCTTCCTATATCTGTCGCTCTCTGTTGCCTTTCCTGTTTCATTTCTGAGAGCTAAATTTCTTCTTATTCCTCACTTAGCACTCATTCAGTAAATATTTATTGAGGATTTCTAAGTTCTCCAAACTTGTCACTTATACTAAAATGCCACTGTTTCCGATTTTCCCACACAACTCTGTACAAATTGAACACAATCTTTTTGATCTAGTTTGACTGGTTTGGGGGAGAAACTGACTCTTTCCAGAAGTACCCCACTCTGGCTTGGGAGCTCTTGGGGAAGGATAGATGATGCCTGCTTTGTTCACTAAGTATCAAGTGCCAAGCTGAATAGTGCTGGACACTACTTGTGTTCATCACTATTTAGGTCTTCTCTCTTTTTGGAGACAAGGAAGACTCCATAGCTTCCAAGCCCCTGGAGTGGGATGAGATCTAGGTACCTGGACTGCAAGTGGATTGACACATGTCACCTTCAGATAAACCTATCCAAAGGCAGTCCCAGATAGCTTTTTCTCTGCTGGAGTAAACTTTACAGAGATTCCTTAGTTAAGAAAGGTTTGAATAATGAAGCCATCTGTATTGTCACCTGGAGAGTCGCCTTAAATACGCAGCAGACTATGGAGGTGAGAGAAGATACTTGTGTTTAAGTAACCACACCTTGATGGGGTGGGATGTGTTCATTACTGTGGCATAATGTAGTTTATCCTGATCAAAATATCATCATCTGTAGAACAAAGTCAGCTGCTCTATAAATAAGCATGTATTGAATAAATGGAGAT